GTGTGTGTGTGTGTGTGTGTGTGCTGTTCAAACAGCTGGTTAGTTTGTATAACAGTAGCTTTACAACTAGCTGGGCTTGTTCAACCAGACACACATATCTGTGAGAGAGTGTGTGTGTTGGAATGCCTGTGATGTGATGTCAGTGTTTCTGCCCATGGTCTGTGGTATGCAGGCTGCTCGCTCACCTAGACACACACAATAAGATATGAGTACAATCCAGTATCTATGTCCACCATCTTGTCTGTGTGTGTGAGTGTGAGTGTGTGTGAGTGTGAGTGTGAGTGTGTGTTTGCCATGTTCCTGCTGTGGCTGTGTGACTTGAAGCTGTGTTGACACAGCAAACACACACTTCTTTTCTGTGCTGTATGTGTGTGTGTGTGTGTGTTTTGTGCTGGTTGAGCTGCAACATTAAAAACATTTTCATGTAGTTATTAAAGTTATTTGCAGGTTTGGTGTTTAAATGATTTTGAATCTTTCATCACTGCCATGAAAACACTTTAAGTTTTACATTTTAAAAGAGACATACTCTCTTTATCTTCAGTTTGATAATTTCAGTGAGTTTTATTACTGTGAAAAGTTTCCAATATTCAGAAGCTCATCACTTTCCTCAGACTGTCCATTGCTGCTGCTGTCATGTTGTCCATTTTTAGAATCAAAGTTAGCGAAACTATATGTGGGGGTTTCTAAAATGTTCTGGTTTACTGGGACATTATTGTGTCTCTGTTGTGTTAGTGTGTCAGCTATGTGTTAATTACAGCCTACTGAGACCTCAATTGCAGCAGTGTCTCCCTCTTCCTCACACACACACACACCAGCTGATAACCAATCACTGGGCTTATCAATAACATGATCACATCCCTCTGGGGCTCTGTCAGACACTGATTACTTCAGTCTAACTGAACAGAGAACGTCTGATAGATGATTGACAGACTGATCAGTACCTTACCGGCTGAGTGATAACACACTCAGTAAACTTTGTGAGGACACTCATCGACACCTAATTCTAACCCTAAAACCAGGATAATGTTCTCAATCCATAAGTATCTGTAACTCGTCCTCAAAAATATAGGAGCACTTCAAGCTTCATGTGTTTGTTCCATTGTTTAATTGGTTTGTTAGTTTTGGTTTCACAATGTAATTTAGGGACTAAAGAATCATCACCTATGTGCGTCCACCTGTACTTGACCCTGATTGGTTTGCAGATGGCGTCTGACGTGGGGGGCGGGGGTAGTAGTCTTTCTGTTTGAATGGAGAACATGAATGAAGAGCTTCATTTGGTTGCCACGGTAACATCATGATGGCATTACTAGCAGCATCAGCACCTTCAGCCGCAGTACTTCACAGTACTATAGAACTACAGTACTCCACAGTAGTTCAAATTCACCAAATGAACGTCCTTGTGGTTCAAACATTATATCATCGTAGGTGAAGGCTGCAGCTGCTGTCTCTACTTCCTGTGAAACTATACAAAAGTATTTTCACTCTGCCGGCGAAGAGAACCATGGTTCAGTTTGATCCAGAGCCAGAACACCTCTTCTGGTCAAGGAACCATTCATACCTGATAGTTTGGTTCAGACTTAACTGAAAGTTCTCATTGTTCACTTTGCTGTGACTCCAAATCAGCTTTTTCTCAGTTAAGATGAATTTCGTCTCTAATCAACTGATCTTTAGTCATTCACACACACACACACACACACACACACACACACACACACACACACACACATTACCTGACAAGGTGTTTTCCCATGAGAACGAGACTCTAATATTTAACTGTGTATATAAAGGCCTGAGGCGGGGGCGTTTGACATAGACTGACAAAGTCAGAGAGACAAACAATAGACAGACAAAGAGAGAGACAATCGAGCAGGAGACGGAGCGAGACAGAGGTGAAAGTGAGGCAGCTGTGGTTTCCGTGGCGATGCGAAAACACATAACAGAGGACAGGAATGTAAAGACAGAGTGCGAGAGATGAAAAAAAGTGGAAACATTAAAGAAAGAGGGGAAGAGAGACGGGAAGAATGAAGGGAGGGGGAGGAGGGCAAGGGAGCTGTAATGAAAGGAAAATGAGAGAGTGAACGACTTGCAGTGCTCGAACGCCCAGGATGGATTATAGCAGAGAGAGGGAGTTGGAAAAACTAAAAGACTAATGACAATCAAGACTGAAACAAAAATAAGAAAGAAAACTGAAGATGATAAAATAAGCAGGAGTAAGAAAAGATGCAAAGGAGAAGAGAAGGTAAAGAGAAAAGATATGTATGAAAATGAGGTAGAATGCCTGAGGTAAAAGGAAACGAGTGACGTGAGAAAACAGAAAAAAAATGAGAGCGAGAGAAGGAAGCACGAGGCAGAGAAGGAAAACATGGAGTGAAGGGAGGAGTGATGGAAAAGAGTTACGTGTGGTTTGACCATAAAACCAGAGATGAAAAGAAAAAAAGATGGAGGGAGCTGAAGGAGCGGGAAAAGAAAAGGATATGAAGATAAAGATGGAAGGATGAAGAAACTTAAGAAAAGAGATATAGATAAATATACTTAAATCACATTTTTCTCTTAACAGTGTGAGACTCTTCTTCACAAGAGGATAAAACAACAATAAAACTGAAAACTTTAAAAAAAATCTAATTTTAAGGAAATTAATAAAAAATAACAATTCAAACACAAAATTTAAATTTAACTTTACGCTTTAAATCAATAAATGTTTTGCTTTAAATGTGTCAACTTTTCCTTTTTTTTTTTACTTTTTAACAATTTTCCCACGCATGATTTTTTGTAATTTTCTAAATTCTTTGTAACAATAATGATAATAATAAATGTATAAATAATAAAGTAGTATTATATAGATCACTAATTTTTCTACCCATATCTGACCGTGCTTTCTGATTGGCTGTTCTCAGGTGGAGTGGGTGGAGCTGAACGATGGCGGGTGCGTCAGTGAAGGTGGCGGTGCGAGTCCGTCCGTTCAACTCCCGAGAGATGGGACGCAACGCCAAGTGTGTGATCCAGATGCAGGGAAACACCACGTGTAAGACACAAACACACACGCACACACACACACACACACACACACACACACACACACACACACACACACACACATTGTGTACTATCTGACCTTAATCCAAATCTTCCAAGATTTTAAAATATATTTTTTCTCTTCAGTTAATTATTTTAGCTCTGATGCAAGAACTATTTTTCTCCTCAGTCTTATTGAGTTTCAGTTTGACTTGTATTCAAACAGGCCTCAGCACTCCCAGAATGCCTCTGGCCATCATGTGACCTCTGAACCTGCTGCTATTTGCACTCACAAACACACACAGTTTATTAATAGACGAGCAGCAGCAATATTGTTTTTAGCAGCCTTGCGTCTGAACACTCACATTTTTTGTGCTCTGAGTTCTGAGTCTCTAACGTTGAAGCGATCATCCAGGTTTCTCCTTCAGGTTAGTAGTTAAGCTGCATGGCAGAAAGTAATTGGACAGCCAATCTTTTCAGCCACATGTGACTCTTAAAGCTTTAATCTACCTCCACTCTGGTCTCACCCTTCCAATCAGATTTCGGGTCTGTCCATATCCTTCTGGCCACGGTGTGCATCATGCCACCAGGCACACAAAGTGTTTGACAACCTCTTTATTTCGTTCCAGGTATCTCCAACCCCAAACAACCCAAAGATGGAGCCAAGAACTTCACCTTTGACTATTCCTACTGGTCACACACGACGGTGATCACGCACTATCACACACACACACACACACACACAAGACGTGCAAATATTCACCAGGTGAACCTGTAATAACTCGAGGTGTGTGTGTTCCTGCAGAATGACGACCCCAGCTTTGCGTCTCAGAGGCAGGTGTATAAAGACATTGGAGAGGAGATGCTGCTGCACGCCTTTGAAGGTGAAACTGATCATTCTGATGTGATCATGTTTAGAGGAGTGATGGTTACGTTAACCTTGATGCTTATGATTTTAGTGAAACTAATACAAACACTACACATACTAGTACTACTACTAATAATGCTAATAAGCTAAATATGATCCTGCTTTAAGATGCTAATGTTAATATGAATAATTCCTCAGATGCTACTGCTTATGTCGATGTTCTTCAGATTATTAGCACAGTTGCTAATGATGTTAGTGTGTTTCATGTTTACAAATCTTTTTCCAGGATACAATGTGTGTATTTTTGCGTACGGCCAGACTGGTGGAGGAAAGAGCTACACCATGATGGGCAAACAGGAGCCTGGACAGGAGGGGATCATACCACAGGTAACAAAACATTTGTCTGATTAAACTGAGACTAAATGTTTGTGAGGGTGTGTCACAGTCAAAGGAGTATATGTGGGTGATTTGCATATGGCCCCACTGAACTGTTTGAGCGATCTCATGCGATACCGTCACAAATCTCCGTCTTCTTGTGGCCATGTTTAATGTTCCTTTGATTTGTGTCTCTGTGTTCAGCTGTGTGAAGAACTATTTCAGAGAACAGGAGAAAACACAGATCCTGACCTGACATACTCTGTGGAGGTAAACTCACTCTGATCCGCTAATTCAGAACTGAATCATCCTGGTAATTGTCGATTGGCTGAAGTCCGTCTCGTCCGCCTGCAGGTGTCCTACATGGAGATCTACTGTGAGCGGGTCCGGGATCTACTAAACCCAAAGTCCCAGGGGACTCTGCGGGTTCGAGAGCATCCCATTCTGGGGCCTTATGTGGAAGACCTGTCCAAACTCGCCGTGACCGGATTCACCGACATCCGGGATCTGATGGATGCTGGCAACAAAGCCCGGTCAGTTTTCTTCCTGTGGATGGTTGTCATGATGCTGCATCCAAATCAATCCACAGCTTGAATTTTAAATAAAGTGTAAAAGGCTGCATTTTTTTAGGTAAATGTGTGTGTGTGTGTGTGCGCGCGCTGGTGCTGGAAGTTTAAATATATGTTGTCTTTCCTGTGGTTTTCCACACTAACAGGAAAGTTTGAATTGTCAGAGTTTGATTATTTATACCTGATCGGTTATTGATAACAGGACAGTTGCAGCCACAAATATGAACGAGACCTCGTCCAGGTCTCACGCCGTCTTCACCATTGTCTTCACCCAAAAACGTCGAGACCAGATGACCAGCCTGGATACTGAGAAGGTGTGTAGGGCTGTGTGCATGTGTTTGGACCTGATGAGAACCCTGTACGCTGTTCTCATCTTGCATTGCCACCGTACACTTATTTAAAAATGTAGTTTATAATCAGGATTTTAAAGATGAAACTTTCTCTTCAGGTCAGTAAGATCAGTCTGGTCGATCTGGCTGGAAGCGAGCGAGCTGACTCGTCGGGGGCAAAGGGCACCAGGCTCAAGGTCAGAGGTCACAAGAGTCATGCTGGTGTGTTTGCTCACTAAAATCCAGGATTTCTAAGTTGTATTTACTTTATATCTACAAACAGGAAGGAGCGAACATCAATAAATCTCTGACCACGTTGGGAAAGGTGATATCAGCTTTAGCTGAAATGGTGAGTCGACTAACTCGATTAAATATCAGAAAATGTACAAATTTGTTAAAATAATAAGAAGGACTTGATCCTAGTTCACATCTGTTTTCCTCTGCAGCAGAGCAGTAAGAAGAGGAGAAGTGATTTTATTCCCTACAGAGACTCTGTTCTCACCTGGCTACTGAAGGAAAACCTGGGCAAGTGTAAATGGTTTCATGACCAGTAAAAATCTCATGCTATTGGTTGTCTTGAAATAAAAAAAAAGGAGCAGAAGTAACGTCCAAACTTCTTCAGGATTAGATTTATTACTTTACAAAGTGTTAAACCAGTCGTTGTAGTATCAACAGTTACCTGTGTCGAGAGTAGTAGCAGCAGGTTAGATGGAAAGGAATTTGTAAATAACATTAAAGTTGTGATTGTAGGAGGAAACTCTCGGACGGCCATGATTGCTGCTCTAAGTCCTGCTGACATCAACTATGAAGAAACACTGAGCACCCTGAGGTCAGATACTGATGTGTGTCCAGTGTAATCTATCAGGCTCTGTGTAGATCAGTGAAGTGAAGTAAATGTCATTTGGTCTAATCTAATGAGATGCATCGAGTTTAATGTGATTCAACTTGGTCTTGTCTGGTTCAGATATGCTGACCGTGCCAAACAGATTCGTTGTAACGCTGTGATCAATGAAGATCCAAACGCCAAACTGATCAGAGAGCTGAAGGCTGAAGTGGAACGACTGAGAAACCTGCTGTTCTCACAGGGCCTGCAGGAACTGCTGGATAATGCTGGTATATACACATCTCACAGTATACACGATACTGGAATATATATATACATTATAAAAAAACTTTACTGTTATATACACATCTCACAGTATACTTAATATTGG